TTCTTTACTTTTCTCAAAAGATGCTTTTTGTTGTTGATGATGTTAACATGTACCAGATACAGAGGAAGAAGAAGCACTATAATTTTTCAGAGTGTTTTATAATAGAAATAGTTTGCTTTGCTTTGTTGAATGGAGGAATAGGCACTGAGTGTCTTGCTTGTGTCTCTCCAGCCCATTACACTGTGCAGGGTCATATATGGTGCTGTAAGGCATCATTCCTGCAAATGGTAATTTAAGAGTGCATGCATACAGTATTAATGGAGGAGTACCTCAGATGACTGCATGGGGTAGCAGATTTCCTTCTGTCCTTATGGCTGCTTGGGGCAGACTCATTGTGCATTTTCCTGCTGAAGGGAATTGTTTCCTGCCATGCCTCTACAAAGCTACAGTTGTGATTTAGATCGCTCTCAAGATTGGCTATAATGGATTATATGACATATTCTTCTAGAGAGGGGCAAGTGGTCCTGCTGTGTGCTTAGCCTTGCCAAGACAGTCAGATTAGGCAGACTGGCAGGTGGGAGTCTGGGAACCAAAGGTGTTACTTTAGGCTACAGGGGAAACACAGACATGGCAGATCAAGGTCATTCACTGTTATTCTTCTCTCAAAACAAAGATCCAAGGTGGGCATTGGGATAAACAATGTCAGGTCATACTTGACAGATAATTAATTTAGAAGATCATACGGGATGCAACAAGTGACAGTCCATGAGGATGCTGAATACAGCAGACAGAGACTTGAAACAACAAGGAACAATATTGGTTGTTTTTGTACAATTCAGTGAGGTTGTTGTTGCTCTTGAACAGTTTCTCTTAGATATTTACTTAAAAGGTTTTGACCAAGAAATAAAAAATAAATTCTGACCACCTGAAATAGGAACATACCTGATGTTTCCATGAAATTTATCAGTAAGTAAATGTATTAGTAAGAAATTTATCAGTAAGAAATTTATCAGCAAGAAATTTATTAGTAAGAGAGCACGAGGATTACACTGTCCAGACAGCATCTGCTTTTCCACATAAGCATTTTTATTTTTGCTTCAGTGTTATTACACAGACATGAAGCAAAAGTACTTGTTGATATGAGAGACAAGTTACTAATAGTGGTGCCAAGAGTGAGACAAGTCTGTTGCTCTTCTCCTTTCTCAAAACATCTAACAGACAATTCTGCTGCCATCCATGACTTCCCCAAGAATCTCCACTGCGCTATTCATTTCTTCCATGCCGGTACCATGTTTAGAAAAACAATGTTGAATTTCTTCCTGCTAATGCTGTTTCTAACTCTGAGAAGCAGAAAAAATGTACTGTCTATTTATCTGCATGTCTTTCAAATGAAATTGTATTGAATTTATACAGAGGTCTTACAGGATATTTGCCACCACTAGAAATTACTCAGAATGGACATTAGTGTTTGTAAGAACTGAATGTAAATCCACTTACTCCTTTTGCAGTGATGTCCATCTGAATTGTATCTTTTGAAAATACTACTGAAGGTTCATTTTTCCCAGTCTAACTGTTTCTAACCCCATTAGCTGTTAGAAGAAGTGTTAAAAATATGGAAAACTGTAATAGAAAGACAAAATATATGTATTGCACTCTTTTGTTGCCAGTGATTTCTTGGAATAAGAATTTTCTATTCATGTTTCCTGTTCAATCACAAGAAGAGCTCCAGGTGTGTACTTCCCTTGACTCCCTTGGAGTCAATCTGTGGCAGTACTGAATATAATATTTAGGTAGCTTAAGTAGGTGTCACTTAATGCTTCTGATGCAAGAAATTGGCAGTGTGGTTGCATGTAAGGATGCCATTTTTAATGTCTGATTAGGAGTGCCCCTAAGAGATTGTGTGTTCTGCCAGATTGGAAACTTTATATTGGATAAAGTCACGAAACTCCAGGAAGGAGATGGACAGCAGTGATCACATGCATGACCTACTGTACATATTTAAGGAAGCAGTTTAGACAAGTGGTTTCCTGCTCCTCCAGTAGAACAAGTTGCCATTGCATGAGCAGCACTAACCAGCTTGTATAATTAATGAAATATCAAGGCATTTAATTCGAAAACAACTCTTGAGGAAGCTAACCAGGGATACTGAATTTTTGAGGATGTAGTTTATGCTATGAAAAGACTGTATTTTGTGAATAGCAGTAACCAGCAATAACAAGAAGCCATTGATCTTCATGATACATTTAGGGGAAAATTCTTCATCCCTTTGCTGCATCTTCTGCCCACTCTGTCAGCTCTGTGTAGTGTATGTGTTGCATGTGCAGAGGCAGGTGTGAGCAGAGTGGGGGCAGGATGGAGATAATAGCCACTGCTAATCCCCCACTGGCATAGTGTCTATTAGGAGTCAGTGATGTAATTAGAGTTGAAACCCTGCTGTCTCTCATCTCTCAATGTCACATGGCCACCAGTCTATCCAAGCATAACTTGTTCATCATGGAGAAATATAGCCTGAATATAAATCTGCTCTTTTGCTGTCTTGTAGACTGGTTTGATACAACACTGAGATCTTAGCTCATTCCCCCACTCCCCTTCTGGAATATTGGCAGACTTGAGATGCCTGTATCCAGGAATGGCTTCCAAGTACTACTGCTTCCTTGTTTTAGAGGATATGTACTCCTCTATAATTTGAGGTTCTCATAATTATTCTCAAATTAGGCCATACAAATACTTTTTGCCTTCTTTACTTTCTCCTGATTTACTCACCAGACTCCATAAAGTTTAAGCATTTTAAGCTCAGTTAACTTTAAGTGTTTTGTCTAATTTGGACTTTCTAGAGAGCCTCTGGAAGCATAGCCTTAGGAAGGCATTTGAATTTAAAGTGTTACTGAGCTGACCCTCAGTCATGTTAATTGCAGGAAGATGATGGCCACCCCTCTTGCAGCATCCCTTAACAGCCTTCTGCTGCTCTGAGTCTTGCTGGTTGCCCTCCAAGTGACTGGTGTCCCAAGTCCCCAAGCTGTACCGGCCCATACTGCTGTGAGGGATTCATAAAGACATTAACCTTCATGTCTAGCCTTATGTGTGGTGCTACAGATGGATTCAGCAAGCTAGTGGTAAGGGATTGTGTTACAGGCAGCTGCATCCAAAGGGCTCTTCTTCACTGCACTGAAAAATTCCACTCAGCTTGCAGTTGATGCAAAACTGGGAGGAGTGGCTGGAACACCAGATGGATGTGCTCCCCATTCAAAGCAACCTAGGCAGGCTAGAAAAATGGGATGAGAGGAATCTCTTGGAGTTCATCAAAGGCAAAGGCCAAATTCTGCATGAGGAGAGGAGTAATAAACACAGCAGTGCAGGCCCAACTGGCAGGAAACTGCTCTGCACTGGAGTGCTTGGGGGTTCCTGGTGGGCAGCAAGTTGCATATAGGCCAGCAGTGTGTTCTTGAAGCAAGGGAGGTAAATGGCATCTGATCTGCTTTTGGAAAATCATCACCAGCAGCTTGAGGGATGTGATCCTTCCCTTCTGTTGAGCTCTAGTGAAACACATCTGCAGTGTTTGGTCCAGTTCTGGGCTCCCCAATAGAAGAAAGACAAACATCCTGGAGTAAGCCTGGCAAAAGGCCACAGAGATGATGAACTGGAGCATCTCTTCTATGAGGAATAACTGAGAAAACTGGGACTCTTCATCTTGGAGCAGAGAAGGCTCAAAGGGGCATATCAGTGTGTGTGAATATGTGATCCCCCACACTGTAGAAGACAGGGCCAGACTCCTCTCAGTCCCCAGTGACAGAAGTAGAGAAAATGAGCACAAATAGAAGTACAGGAAATTCCTTCTGAGAATAATAAAATAGTATTTTCTTGTCACTCTGAAGGTGACAGAGCAGAACACTTGCACAGATTGCCCAGAAAGGTTGTGGAGTCTCCATCCCTGGAGATACTCAAAAGCTGTCTGGGCATGGGCCTGGACAGCTGGCCCTGTGTTGAGCAGGGGTGTTGGAGTAGTTGACCTCCAGAAGTGGCTTCCAACTTCAGCCATTGTGGGAGCCTGTGAAATGTTTATTACTCCACTAATCTTACATAATTATACATATAGGTGCACTTTCCTCTCTCCCCTCAAAGGGAGTCTGAGATGTCTATGTTACATCTTCACAGTGAGATTTTTCAGAAGGTAAAGTTACAAACTGTAACTCCATTAGTTATGAGTCATGGAAACATTGATTTTGAAAGGTTTGTATTTTACCCTGTTAAAAAGTTGTCTGTGGTTACAAATACTTTTTGCTTGCCATCAGTATTGTTTTGGTTTTTTGCTCAAATTGAAAATATGTTTGTGTTTTCAGAACAAATGTCATTGTCGGAAAAGACCCAAGCGTTGCCAATTTTTTTCACAGCAGGAATATTTTTACTGGCTGGATCTGGTAAACCACTTCTGAAGAGAAAATGTCATTCTAACACATACATGTACACACTCACACATACACACATATTTGAATGTCCACATATTTTGCTTTAAATTCAGGCTACGTTGAGTGTTCTTGTGGAACACATCCAGGTAGGCATGATCAATAAAACTTGGGCTATATGTTGCTTGTACCTTTCTGCTTTGAAACAAACCATCTGTCACTAAATAGTTCTTACTACCAAGTCCCCCAGTCACACTGAAACCTGGGATCTCATCTACAGTATACAAGTATATTGAGGTTTTTTCTGATATATAGAACAGAAACATACTGTATGCCTTCACTGCTATTTTATTATTTCACATCAAATCTTTTGAAGTAATGAATATTTTCTGATGTAGGATTTCACTCAGGAGAGAGAAATCATGTTCCAACTTTTCCCTCTTGACCAGTAGACACTGAATCAGTCTGAGGAATAGAAAATCTTATAGGCTGTGTTTAAATCTGTAAGAGTACAAACTTTTATTCAGGAAATTCAGTGAGTTCAGAAGTATGGCGCCGGTAGACAAGATCTGTGGTGGATTTTAATGCAATCTTTTTATATCAAATGTATCATATAATTTTGTATGGAGTTTACATGCCACATCCTCTTTTTCTTTGCAGGGTACATACCCAGTTACTTAGACAAGGATGAGCTATGTGTAGTATGCGGGGACAAAGCCACCGGATACCATTATCGCTGCATCACTTGCGAAGGTTGCAAGGTAAAGGGCATGGTGGGAAAGTGGGAATCAGAAATAGCTCTCCAGCTCCTCCATTATACAGACTTCCTGAACTGTGCTGTCAAATCAAATAAAGACAGATTAGAAGCTAATAAGAACATCCAGTACTGATGATAAGCCGCATCTGATCATGCTGCTGCTCTTCATATGCATAAGGAATATAGTTAGTTTTTGCCGTGTTTGCTTTTGAAAAGAAAACAAGAAATTTAGACTGGTGTTGCTGCTGTTTACCAGTTAGCTTTTGAATTTCCATTTTTTAATGTTTCTTTAGCCATGTTCTCAGCCAGGGTACAACAGCATGTTCCCAGCTACTCCACTGAAGCTGTTTATGCAATAGCTAAGGTTCTGCTTATGGCCATGAGATTAACAGTGTTCCAGTGCCTCTCACCATCCCTGTGAAGAAGCAAAAATCAAAATCCTTTCCACATGCTCATATTACAGTAACATCCATCAATTTGGGAAGCATTGACACCCAATTAAAATAGTTCCAAAAAGATTTTGACTTCTTTAACTTAAGCATATTGAAATGTGCTTTCAGCCCTAAAATGCATCTCCAAGACTTTGTGCAAAATTAAATTTAAAAAGAGATTGCTTTGGGCAAGTAAATAAAAAAATGGAGTAACACAATCAGACACATCTTACATGATTTCACTTCCATGAATTTGCCTGAATAGCTTGAGATTCTGTAAGAAAGCTATTCTTTCCTGCAGAAAGTAAAAAAAAAAAAAATTGTTTTTCTAAACAAATGGGACCACACATGTCTTGGGCTGGTGTCATGAGACTAAGCCATGAAAGTCTCATTTTGTTCACCCACAAAGTCTGGAACATTTGGATCTGATATTTTGGGTTTGGATTGGCTTTAGAGCTCCTCATTGCAGTAACTCTTGTGTTGAAGTAGTTCTTGTGGTTGTACATCATTTCCCTAAGTTACATTTATGAAATGAACAGAGACCTAAATAGCCTATGTATAGCAGATTCATGGTAATACTCATAATGGCTTTATACATACACTTACATACAAAGTATAAAAAAGTACTTACATCTTTAAAAAGAACTATGGAGCTGCACAAGTGGTTCTTTTACACATTTGCATCCTGAATACCAGATGATAACAATACATAACATGTATGGATGCAACTTAATTCAGATATAATGGGAAGTAAGCAGCACTGGGGCATTATGAAGTATACTTAGCTCCCAGCTGAACAGCTGTATCTGTTGCAAGTTTTCCTGCTCAGACTTTCATTAGTTCAAGTCAAGCAGTTCTTTTTATGCCTTCCAGCTATTTTAGAGACATATCATACAAATTTACTTTTATCTTCACATACAGTTCTTCTGTCTGATGTACAATTTAAAATAATGCTTATGCACACAAGGACCTGAGATAACAATTTGCAAAAAGTAATTATTTTCTTGAAGGAGCTGCATACACATTTCAAGCTGTATGATATATCAACAAAGTTACATGTTTTATCAATACACAATATATATAATAAATTTTCAATTAATTTGATGTTTACTAGTTGCTTCCACTCGAAGTCGCTTTAGTTTTGTAACAAGCATAATCAAGGCTGACAACCAAAGATTTGCTTTGGCAAGTGCTTTCATGAACTTCATCCTCACACATGATTTCTGAAGAGTAAATTGTGAGGAATTTAAACACAAATAAATGAACAGTGAGTTCTGACATCACTGAAATATTTTTCCTGACTTTACCCATTGCATCTACTGCTATATAGGTGTGTAGCAAAGGAGTTTAGAAAGAGTTGCTCCCTACTATACAATGTGCTTTCTTTTATTGATGAGAATAACACTTCTGTGGTGAGGTGTTTGGACAGATATAGAGAGCAGCTTCCTTTACATCTATCTGGAGATGAACAAAGAAGGATTTTTTGCAATTTTTTTTTCTGAGAAATGCAAAGAAATGAGAAGGTGAAATGGGCTGTCTCAGCAGAGGTGATGGAGACCCTTGCCAACATAAAGCTACAGTTACATTAAGTCCTGTGCAAGGTTTAGAAAGCAGAAGTTCACTCGCTAAGATTCATTAGAGATTTTTCTATCTCTTGCTTCATAACTATTGATAACCCTGTGACCCTGGTTGTCCACAGCCATCCTAGGTCTTCAGGAAGGGGTGGAGCAGATCCTGTCTCTAGGAATTCGTCACAGGGTTGAGGACAGAACTGGGTGTTCAGTAGATGAGAGTTTGAGACTTATTCCAAACCCCACATAAGGATATCTTGCCTGTGATTTCCTGGATTTTATCTTAACACAACTGGTCCCAGTCTTGCAAAGGCTCCCACACAAGCTTTATGCCACTCAGTTTAATTAATATTTCAGGTCTTACCGTAATTAAGGAAGAAAGTGTTGTACTCTTAGCTCAAGCTGAACCTCGTAAGATAAAACTCTAACGAGGACAAGGCTCTTCATTGTTTTCACAGGAGTTAGGAGTACAAGCTGAAATACAGACTTATCTGTACATGTTAATTCAACACTTTGTGTTAAAAGAAATTGCGCACTGCTGTAAGATTTTACTGGGTATTATTTAACATGATTTAAAAACAGACCTTTCGCCTACTGAAGTGAAGAGACTATTCATTAGACAAAATCCCAGCTGAAGAGACTATTCACAAGGTAAAATCTCACTTGAATTTTGCCGTTGTTTTGACTAAAACCAAAGCCATTCTGAACAGCCTCAGTCAAACAGGACCAGAGTGTAAGTGTGTTCTCTGTGTCAAGGTAATCCTGAGCTGCATTGCTGAATCTAGGCAGTCTCAAATAATGGTGAAACTTGAAATTAAAGTGAAGCCTAAATTTTCTGCTTTACAGCCTATCTTGTTCATATCTTGCAGTCTTGGGGAGTTTATCCAGCCCTTGCAAAAGTCAGTGAGAAAAGTCATGTTGAAATTAATACCAGGATTTTGTCCGTAATGTTTAGAGATAACTTTTATCTGATTTCATCACCTACAGCAATGTTTTATGGGGCGTTTGAATGAGTGAATTCAGTGGGATTGCATTAGTTCATATGGTCTTGGGATCTGTTTAAATTTGCAAGATATATCTGTATTATGATAAGAGATAGATAGATAGATAGATAGATAGATAGATAGATAGATAGATAGATAGATAGATAGACAGATAGATAGACAGACGAATCTTTGGTGGTCATGGGGCTTTTGGGGCTTTTGAAATTCTGTGGTAAATACAAATTAAATCTACTTCTCAGAAATACAAATAATTTATAAATTCAGGATCCTTTGAGTTTAGAACCAAACTCAAAGATTGTGTAGACTGTATTTGCAAAATCTTTTTCTTGCACAGATTTGGTTGGTTATTTGGCTTTTATGGAAATAAAGGAGTGGAACTGTCTGTCCTCAATCCTTTAATAGCACAAACACACCACCATTCTTACTATTTGCAGAAGCTGCTTTTTAACTAAAACTATGTGTATGCCTTTCAATATCCTTCAAAATGATTACAGAGTTTGAAAAGGGGCTCAAAAATACTTCATATACAAGAAAAAAATTAACAGTAAAAAAATATGACTACAAGAAGACATGTACACAGTATTTGTGTCTCAAGACAACACTACTTGCACCTTTACTTATCTAAGATGTCTATAAGTCTAATTGTTAAGGAAAATCAAGAGAAATGCCATACACTGTAAACTGGTTTGAGAGCTTTGAGAACTTTTGGGAATGAAGTTTGTTATCTTGCATAGCTAGGTACATGCCTAACAAATCAAGCAGCTCCCAATTTTTAAAATTTGCTCAGTGCTAATGCTTTCCTATGTACTTATTTCTTGAACCTAGGGTTTTTTTAGAAGAACCATTCAGAAGAACCTCCATCCAACCTATTCCTGTAAATATGAAGGAAAATGTGTGATAGACAAAGTAACAAGAAATCAGTGCCAGGAATGTCGCTTCAAAAAATGTATCTTTGTTGGCATGGCAACAGATTGTAAGTATATTTTCCTGGTTTTTCTTTATTTTATTTTTTTTTCAGTGTCTGTGTTTGCCTAAAGTATGTTGATTGATGAAGCTTGTTAAAGTAAAGTAGAAGTGCCAGCCCTTTTCTGGATTTAATAATACCAGGGAATCACACTCATTGCATTAAGCCACTTTCACAGGGCTGTAATTTTTTGTTTATCCTTCATCATGCTGCACCTTCTCCTGGCCTTGCCAAGCTGAGTAACAATAGGAATGTTCACTATTTGGAGGAGAGGAGGGAGAAATGCATCTGGATGGACACTTAGCTTGAGATAAAAACATCTTGTTTAGAAAATTCTGGAGGATGTGAAATTGAATGTCATTGTATGAGTCATGCTGCAGTTGTTTGTTTTATTTTTAGCCCTGAAGAAGTTATCTGCTGCAAAGATTTTGAGTCTTTTCTAAAGAACTAGAAAATATGGCTGTAAGATTAATCCTTAGGGGTCTTCTTTTCCTGCCATTGCACAGGGATTTACACCAATAACTTCAATTGCTACAAACGGGAAGAAGTCACGTAAAGCCCCCCAGAAGTCATATAAATCCCCTTGTGCCTTCATGGTTGTTGCCAGTATAATCCTTTGCAGAAGAACTGACAGGAAAATAGGCCCAGTAAACAACAGAAGAATAGTCTAACTTAGTATTTTCATTGTTAATGTAATGTATAACACTGCCCTCTGTCTAGAGGGAAATAGAATAAAGGGGACAATTTCATTGTGGCCAGGTAGGACCTTCAGGAAAGGGGCTGGATGCCAGTGAAGTGGTGAGCAGAGAGCCCCTGGGACCTGTGTATCTGGAGTCACTGGAAGTAATGGGGCTCTACAGGAACACCACTTGTGGGGATCAGGGAAAGAGCCAAAGGCATGTTGACCTATTTGTGTCGTGCTTCAGGCAGATGAGCCTTCTGTGAATAAGTGCTCCCACTTTCTTTGATCCATGTTACCCTCTGCTGGCATCCAAGTACATTTTCTGCACTTCAGAGCAGTGAGTGTGAGCATGCTGATATGACTTCAAAGAAAACAGAAGTGCATCTTTCCCAATATGGATTACTCCAAGTCGATTATAGGAGCACTTGGACACCTCACAAAGCTTTTGCATATTATTTTTATTGGTGGAACAACCCCTTGAGGGCAAAGGCAGTATACAAAGCATTACCAGGATGGTAAGTCACTCTTTGCTATCCAGGCTTCTGAGAAAATGAAGTTTGGAGGGAGAAGTAAGAGAACTGTCTCAACTGTGGGTCTTGCCAAGGTACTTCCTTACTGATTAGTTAAGGTGTTTGTAAGCAACTGGTACCTCAGGCACACAAAAGACCAAAGTTCTGGCAGTCTTATGAACTTCCTGTCATTTTTGTCTGTTTTTTCCCCTGCTAGTGGTGTTGGATGACAGCAAGAGGTTGGCAAAGAGGAAGCTGATAGAAGAAAATCGAGAGAAGAGACGTCGGGAAGAGCTGCAGAAAACCATTGGGCACAAACCAGAGCCAACAGATGAGGAATGGGAGCTCATCAAAATTGTTACTGAAGCACATGTGGCCACCAATGCACAAGGAAGCCACTGGAAGCAGAAAAGGAAATTTCTGGTAAGGGCTGTAGCCTTATATGCTGCTCTTAGGGCCAGGTTCTCTTATTTCTTCTGCAGTGCCTTCCCAGCATTGCAACCCCAAAGAGATTTTATTGCCAGTGTACTGATGTTTGTGAAAAAAGGATGATTTTGCATAGTTATTGCTTCATTTTTCGTGCCTGAACCCCTCAGTGTTTGATCAGACCATGTATTTCAAAAGATAAACAGTGTGTTGCTATGTTAAGGCTTACTTAGTTGGATACTTTTATTGTGCTGTGATAAGAAAAAGCAGAAAAGTTGTTTCTCTCCTGATTGAGAACAGAAGCGGTCTATAATACATACTGTATTTTTTTTAATATATTCTATCTTGGGATAGTTGGCTTTACTAGGGACTTCATAAAACATATTGAAAGTGTTAAAACAATATAAAGTTCTAGATGAAAGCTGGTACTTTTGGTTAATAACTCAGGGGTTTTGCCTCTTTTGGTTAATGGTGGATACAGTAATGAAAATAAATTAGGCAAGGAAAATTAATTTCAGTGAGAACAGGATGATGCATACACTATACCATTGGGCTTGCAGCCTACAAAACGACTTGGATTTTCATCCTATAACTAAGGGTCAGAAAATAAACGTTGATTTATGATGCTTGAGCTTAAAAAAGGATTTATTTGATTTTTCTAAATCGATTTTTAAGGGAAATAAGTGCAGAATGCAAAATGCTTCTACCACACAAAAGAGGGATTAGAGACTGCATTTCAGAAATACACAGGAGTCTTTAACAGTCAGAGTATACTAAATCAGATAGAGCACACTCATCCTTTTGCAAGCCTAGGCTCCTACTGCGTAATTCACCATGGGAATTTCAACTCACTGTTGAATTGCTCAGAGAAATTATGTATTCAAAGCAGCTGATCTCTTTTATAATGTTAGGGTTTTTTTAATGCCAGTGACGCCATCAAAATTTCTATATGAATGGCTTGTGTTCATAGACTCTACAGTCAGGAAACCACAGTCATCACTGGCAAGAACCAAGAGAGCACTTTCCAGAGGTGTTGCAGAGCAAGGTGTGAGCAGACCAAGAAGCAGCTGCAGTAGTACTTTTGGTTGCTTAAACAGGAGTGCTGTTCTTCAGGTATCAGCTGATTTGGGATAAAAGCTAGGGAGCTGGGGGTTGGGGCTGGGAATGAGCTGTTGAAGAGCAGGAGAAGCTGACAGTCTGCCCCAGGAGCTACGGATCTGTCCTTATGTGGCTGAGGCTGGTTCTTTGATGACAGGGACTTCATTGGGATCCATTTTACCTCTTCTCCTGTTGAGTTAGGTGGAAGGGGCTCCCCTCCAGTGCGTTAGCTTTAGCTGGCTCTCCTGACTTCCGTTGCCTTTCCCAAGAAAATGCTGTGCTCTTCCTTTTTCTCCATAACAATGGTTCGCGTGGGTTTAAGCATTTGGTCTTTTTTGCTTGGAAGGGATGAAGTTTGTTTATCATGAGCACACAGACAATGTGGTTTAGTTACCCAAGATGCAGGGAGGGAGAGAGCCTAGAAATGAGTTTATTTGAGTTTTTTTTAGTAGAAACCATCAGATAATTGAGCCCAGTCTTCTTCATTGTTCCTTTACAATTGGTGCTTGCTTTATTAACACATTGCTGAGTTTTTTTCTTGTAAGACGTTAGATTTGGATTTAGATTAGTTACAGAAGGATCTTTTATGATGGGTTTCTTTAAAAAAGTGGTTGAACAGAAGTTTTTATTACAGACAGCACTTTCAGCACCTCCCATGTTTACGTGTCTCATATAAATATCATGGGGCCCATCAGTCTTAAAGGTCTGTTTCTCTGGGTTTTATCTAGTTTTTGACCTTAATGTGAACAGAATGAAACCTCTGCATGGTGTTTGGTAGGTGCTTGTAATTGCAAAGCCACACTTTAAAAAAAAAAAAAAAACAGCTTTGATGTGCCTGTTTTTAAAATACATGGTGACATTGACCAGCTGCATAAAAACCAAGTGAACAAGTTCAAGTGCAGTTGGAATAAAAAACACTCATTACAGATTCTGCTTGAAACTATTTCATTGAAATCCTCAAAATATGATTTGTTTTTCATTTGGAGAAGCCTTGAGCTGAAATCATGCAACAGGCAATTTTCAACCAAAATTTTACACAGATGAGTTCAAATTCCATTTACATTATCCAGGCCACCTTTAGGTTAGCCTGTTCTTTCTTGCTCATAAATTGTTTTAGCTTTGCACATAAGTTGTTTTAGCCTTTTGGAAACTGGCCTTCGCAATTGCCTGGGGGTCCGTGTGATACCTGGCAATCTGTTCTGGGGAGACTTTCCAAGCTTTGAGTGGGTAAAGAGCCTAATTCTGCAAAGCATGCAGCATCTTCTCGAGGTAACATGTCTCCTCAACTCTCTTTGCTTTTAGAGAAACTTGAGAGCTTTCAGCTGAGAGCTTTCCTGTTAGGAAAAACGTACCTATGTTTTTAAGCAAAAGATGCATGTGCAGCACCCATAAAATACATAGATACAGACACAAGGAAGAAACTGTGTGCACAACAACCCAGCTGTCCACAAAGAATGGGTAGAAGCATACCAGTCACCCATTTCTCTGTGCAGTCACTTCTTTCACAAATGCCTTACAAATGAATTCACATTTTGTGACATAAACTGACTTCACTTATAAAGCAAATAGTGTTGCTTTTTATTTTAGTCTCTTCCATACCAAGTAGGACTTTTAGGAGTATAAAATAGTTGCTTTAAGACAGACTGCTCCTTTAAATGTCTTTGTTTATATCCTTAGCCAGAAGATATTGGGCAGGCACCAATAGTTAATGCCCCAGAAGGTGGGAAAGTGGATTTAGAAGCCTTCAGCCAGTTTACAAAAATTATCACACCAGCGATTACAAGAGTGGTGGATTTTGCCAAAAAGTTGCCTATGTTTTGTGAGGTAAGAAGACTTTCTTGCACTCCTCATTTATATGCCTGTTGTTAAAAACTACTCAAAATACTTTGGCATGGAACTTAAAAATTCAATGTGTCTAAAATAAAAAAATTAAAGACACTCAAAATAAATGGAACTAGAATAATCTGTATTTTCATGAATTTTCTTTTTCCTGTGATTATTGAAAGCCTGAGTTTGTTAATCTGGAAGTCATTGTGGTTTATTGGGGACTCAGATATGTCTTTAGAGGTGGCCTTGAACAAAGTAAACTAACAAAAAGATACTGTCTAGAAGCATTGCTGATATATTTAATAAAATCTTCCAGCACATGGTTCCCTATGTATCTTCTGGTTCCTTGGCAGGTACAGTATTGTGGAGTTAGGTCTAGACAGTAAAAAATTCTTGAAATTCAGGAAAGCGCCCCTGTACAGGAGTGGCACTTACCTTACTGGGTTCCCTAGGCTTGGTTTTTCTGAATGGGGAGGTTGTGCATAAAAGAGTCTGTGAAAGCAGTGGATTGTCATTCCAAGTAGATACTCATATGTAAATATACAGTAAATAGACTCAAAGGCTTGGTTGCACATAAGGAATACAGAGGCCTTATGCTGATCTCACTTGTACCAAGGTATCATTTTTATTGTAGGACCAGATGCAATGGCTGATTATATTTTTTTCCTCCAATTTAATAAATGGTATCAGAACTGCAGCCTGAAATAATTTTTCAGTCTTAATAATCTAAATAATTTTCATAGAACCATAGAAAGATTTGTGTTGGAAGGGACCTTAAAAATCATCCAGTTCCAACCCCCCTGCGGTCAGCAGGAACACATTCCATTTCATCCTTTGAGGTCAACACCCTACCAGAAAGGAAGGGTAAGGCAGCCATCAAATTTTACTCTACTGTGGCTGGCAGCTTTATTTTAAAGTCAGTCAGGGAGTGCTATATATGTTCTCTGGCAAGTACAGAACAAGAAGAGGTAAATATCAATAGTAGTCACAGTGTAAATATCTCATCCTGGCCAGCCTCTGCATTGGCACCATCAGTCAAGGAAGCATGAAATGCAGCCAAGCATGAAGATTTTAAAATACAAGGAATATGTCCATAGCTCATGAGCATTTAGTGTCTGAGGGAATCAGTCTCCTCTGATCTGGCATTTGTTGGTGGGAAATTGCAGTGACATACCAAGGTAGTCTTTTTAATTTAGAGAGCTCTGCCAGTCACACACAGACCCCAGTGCACATCTGACATCTCCTACCCCTCCTGGCTACTATGGACCCACTTGTGTCAGAGCTAGGATGAAGCATGGATGAAGAAGTCAAGGCATCATTCAGCATGATGTCTCTATGTTATGTGGCTCAGCTGGCCAGGCTTTGTTTACAGCTGAGCCACTGTGTAACCCTGACACCTGCCCATATACAGCAAGATCTGATGGCTGGGTGAGGGACAACTCCTCATGAACACAAAGGAGTAGGACAGCTGCTCTCTGAGTTGTCATATAGCACTTCCGGTATCATGAAGAAAATTACAAATGTTTGCTTCTTTTTGAAGGGGCACCCTCCTGTTAACTTTGTTTCCATTATGATTTTTAACCTGTACCTTTTTCTTAGAAGCAACACTGTGTGGGCTGTAGATTTTTTGCAGGAAAAAATACTTCTTTCTTCCATAGGACCTGCAGAGCATTTAAACATTAACTCATTTCATAATTCCAGAAGCTGTCTGAGAATGCAGTTAATCTCTATGAAAGAGGGACATGATAGGGAACATCTGTGGCCACTTATATTTTCATGGCTACTTTTCCTTCTTTTTCACATATCTGGACACATGTAGAAGCCAGCAAAGCACTGAGTGCCCAGCTTAGCTTGTGTGCACCCATTGGCCCCCCCCTCAAACCAAATATCCAATCCCAGACTAATCAAAGTGTAAGGAAAACTTGATTTTCTTCTCAGCATTTCTCCTGTTATTTCCTTCCTGCTTTTCTTTCTGCTTAGAAGATGAAGATTGAGGGGAAAGTAATAAGTTTAATGTGAGTTTTAAATGTCAAGGCATCAGTGGTTCCACAGTGGGTGAAGCTGTGTGAATACTCTTTGAGGTCACTCAGCTCAGCTCAGTTCCATGGTGCTGCATGGCACGTGTCCTGCAGAGGTGAGCCCTTCAGGTTCTGCCTTGTGCCTTTTCTCCCTGCAGAGAGAGAGGAAAGGAAACATGGCAGAGTTTCAGTCACATTTATTGATCCTGCTACTGGAAGATGCTCTGGTAGCAACACTCAAGTGATGAATGTAGGTAGCATTAAAATCTGCACAGCTGGTAGTAGAACTGATGTTCAAGCCTCATGTCTCTAGTAACTCCTGCTACTGGCAGATAAGACCTGAGGCCTGGCATCTGTGAAACAGGTGTCCCATGTATCCTTCAGAATTAGAAAAGCAGGTGAAAGACAGGCATAGTCAGACTGCCACTACCATAAAGAAGTTTTAAGAAGGATCAAGTAGAAAGAATCGCATTCATTTCATGGCTGACAGCTGAGCTTCACAAAATAAAACAGCTGAAGCATCACAAAATATCTTCTCTACTGTTACCTGTTTCTTTTCTACTATTTTTCCTTCTATTTAGAAGCTTGGTGTTTTTTTCAATTCTCTTTTCTTGTCCCTTCTCTCTGCCTTTCTTTCATGTTCTTTTTTTCACTTCCATTGCTTTTTCCAGTATCTCTTCATGGTTCCTCTCACATATCTATTCTCATTTAAATTTTTTTTAAACTCTGTTTCTTTCCCTACTTCAGTCTCTGCTGCCAAACAGTGGAATTGTCATTGGGTAGCAAGACTGCTGCTGTGCCTGTACAGTCTTCCCCACACTGCTGCTGAGCTGAAGGTCATCTGTAGGGAAACTGATTTGCTCTGAACAGGATGAGTCAATTTTCTTGTGTATTAAACACTTCACACCTGAAGCTGGCATTGGTGGAAAAGTAGCTGCATGACTCAACTCATTTTCCTGACCATGACTAGCTCTGTGCTTAAAACTCTTCTCTAACAGGGAACTGCTTTCCACTTGCATTAGGCAGCTCTGCATCATTTCCCACCAAATCAGTGCACTTGCTTTGCAAGTACACCGTTGCCATGTAAACCTATAGTTCATGGGGTTTTGTTTTTTTTTGAATTGCAAAACAGGTAAATATAATAATTTTATATAAATCAAAAATAAATGGCTTTTTGCCTCCTTTCAAGCCAAGCAGAAGTGTGTTGCTCTTTCATTTGTGGGACCCTTGCTGTTCACTTACAGTCTCAAAACTGTCTTGGTGGGTTTTGTTATCATTGAATAACCTATGAAAACATAAGGACATTCTTTATAGAACACGTTCTGCTCACATGTCAGCATCCTGGTTATAGTCTGTAAATACAGAACCGTGGGACAGCTTGCCTTTGTTAATGGCATGGAAAAGTCACATGCCCTGAAGATCACAGTATATGCACAAGCTTAAAAGCTGTAGCTATACCATAGATTTTCTGTCTGTCCAGCAATAGTGCAGGGAGAACCACCTTACTAGATTAAGTCTAGATTAATAAATTCTCTGTTGTTAAAATGGGCCGTGAGAATTCCTGCTCCACTGATTGAGGTATATCCTCTAGATATATTTGTTTAAAACACAGTCCACTCTTACAGACCCTCCCAAATGTCTTTCCTTTCCTCTGGTCAGGTAAGAAATAAGTATGGCTGGTAGTGAATTTAACTGGGATGGCTGAGGTCTGCACCAGCCCCAATTATGGTTTATTCTGCTATGATAAGTTGTAAGCTGAAGGAACCAACAGCTGTGTTACTGCTAGATTTGCCAAGGGCGTGTGGGGATGCTAACCAGGGAATGTTAACCTGCTGGCCGTTCCTGAAGGCAGGAATGCAGATCCTGGGGGTTTGTGCAGAGCAGCAAGTTTGGAGGGGAGCTGCACTATGCAGGGCAGTGTCCTGGGCTGTGAACTGCAACTTCATGTTCGTGGATCTATTGTAGCTGTAAAAGCCTCTCAGTCTGACAAACATGAATTTTTCTTTGCCATTTATAATTTCTGCAGCTGCCATGTGAAGACCAGATCATCCTTCTGAAAGGCTGCTGTATGGAGATCATGTCCCTCCGAGCAGCAGTTCGCTATGACCCCGAGAGTGAGACTTTAACACTGAATGGGGAGATGGCAGTGACAAGGGGCCAGCTGAAAAACGGGGGTCTTGGCGTAGTGTCTGATGCCATTTTTGACCTGGGCATGTCTCTTTCTTCATTTAATCTGGATGACACCGAGGTTGCCCTTCTTCAGGCTGTTCTGCTCATGTCATCAGGTGAGAACAGAAATATATTGGGATCCAAGCAATTTTGAAACTCTTTGGTCTTTGTCACAAGCCTCTTTGTAAAAGAAATAAGATAGGTTACATCTTGTAGTGCTGACTAGAGTAATGTGAAAGAAATTTTCTCTCAAAACCCCAGTGATTTATTTTGATGAACAATAGGAAAAAAAATGCAGGGTGTTCAGAGAGTTGGACATAAAACTGGTTTTGGTAACACACCTTGCTCAGTTTGGTACTTAAGAATGAGCCAGGAATGATCATCAAGAGGAAATAAGTTCTGATTCTGAGCCAGTTTGCCTTAAATGAAAAATGGATAATTTAGCAACAGTGGTCCTTATGATAAGTTCCCCCAAGTAATGTCGTGCACTGGGCATTCATACACATTTCCACCAGTCTCATATGTTTAGTTTGACTTGCCCTCTTGTTTTCCTAATTAACAGCACCACTGCTTCCTAATGGACATTTACAAGCTGTGCTGCTTCCCCACGCTGGGACCATTTGCAACTGGTTATGATACAAAAGCAGCACAGACAACTTCCTATGATTTCCAAAGAGTTTCTAACCTTCCCAATTTGAGTATGTTTTCATATATGCTTCCAGTGATTGTGCCAGCCCAAAGAGGAAATTCCATTCTTGGGCAGTGGCAGATCTGGCAAGATTTTATTTTAAGATGGCTTTGAAGATTGGGCACTGAATAACAATACACAATCAGTGATTTACAAGCATTAACTGCGTCTGAGATAAAAAGGTTTCCACAGTAATCACAACACAGCACTACATTTTCCCCATCAAAACATTTTGATTTCTTTTTTAAGTCCCTACAAACTGATATGGGAGCAGGGTTTTCAAAAGGCAATTCAAAAATGACCTGCTTTCCCAGAGGTGTCTCCTGAGAAGTGATGTGAAAGGGGCTTTCCCAGTCCTTATCTGGGTGCCAGTTGAGACAGCCAGATTTTTAGCCTTTGTTGTTCCTTGATGCTCCATAACAGCCCACCTGGGATGAAAGCATGATCAAACCATTAGTCAGATTGTAGAAAACCAGATAGAAAGGAACTGTAATTTAGATACCTGAAAAGGATTTTTTTGTTTGTTTCTTTATTAGTTGTTTTACAGAAAAATATAGATGGAATCCTTAGCTGAAATCAGGGATCTGATGTTCTAGTCACTGTAAGGAAACACTTCCCAAACAGCTTCACTCTGTGTAAGTGTGTGTAAGTGAGCAAAGCAGGCATTGGATGAAGAAAGGAAGGATTATCTTCTTCTTTTAACAAGCATAGTACTAGCAAGTGAATTGGCTGGAGTAAAAGAAGTTTGTAGCAGAGCCACAAATGCCCCCGGTCTCTCTCCTTTCTTTCCTAGCATCAGAATCATCCTATTTTTCCTGATTTATGATCAGGCATTTGTTAAGGCAAATATGTAAGAATGATAATTCTGCTGCTTTGTATCTACAGATCGCCCAGGCCTTGTTTGCGTCGAGAGAATAGAAAAGTGTCAAGAGGGTTTCCTCCTGGCATTCGAACACTACATTAACTACAGAAAACACCATGTTGCACACTTTTGGCCAAAACTGCTGATGAAAGTGACAGACCTGCGAATGATCGGAGCCTGCCATGCCAGCCGCTTCCTGCACATGAAGGTGGAGTGCCCCACAGAACTGTTCCCTCCGTTGTTCCTGGAAGTGTTTGAGGATTAGAGACTGAAGTGGTTCTCCACACCCCCGTCGCACTACTGGCTGTCATTTCATCCCGTTGCCCAGCTCTTCTCACCTGTTTGTTCTTCTTCTTTCGTGGTCCTCTGTTTCTTGAGATGGGGCTGGGGTTTTGTTTGAGTTTTCTTTTGGGGTTGCTGGGGGGCAGTTGTATACACATGGATGAAAACATCCCTTTAATGCGGGTACTTGTGACTCTTGCAATTTGTTCTTCAGTCCTTTGATGTGAGTGCTTTGACAGCTTAACAGTGAAAATACGAACAGACCAATCTCATTCACCAGCATTTGCGTGGTCACCAGCTCACACCCATCATTGCCTGGAAAACAGGGGAGAGAGACTGAAGTGGCAGAAAAATAAATTTGCCTTCTAGTTGAAACAGCTATCGTTAATTTGACTTTGACAATTCTGTCTTGTATTACTCCTTTTGCAGGGTACAACCGACCAATTCATAGTACGAAATTTCTGGTCTTTGTCATGGTTTCTATTGTAACAATTACCACTATGATCTAGAATCTTCATCATCATCATGGTCCCATCATTCTCTGAGGTTTTTTCCAGAAGATGCAGTTTAACTGTGCTCTATAAATCAAGTACTTAAAATAATGCAGTGTTAGAAGGGACTGAGTCTTGTTGTTTTTGGTTTTTTTCCATGTGTATAAGTTATTAAGATCTTCAGTTTCTAAATTTGGACTCCAGGTAACTTCACTGGAAGGTTTGTTGGAGTGAGGACAGAAATTTGATTCTCTGAGGTGCTCCTGATAGTGGAGGGGTCTGATTTTTTTGAGGTGTGTGGAAAATCCATCACTCTGAGGGAGAAGGCTCTCTGTCAGGATACCAGGCAGTGTCTCAGAGTTATTCAGGGATATGAGAGCTCACGGAATGATGACAAGGAGAATGGAACATATGAGGTGACCTTCAGATAGGACAGAAACCAACTGTGTTATTAACAACACTCAAGACTGTAGAGCTTTATCCCAGGAATACAAATAGTGTTGCTCAGCAGTTATCCTTTGTTTTATATGTATATATATATATATACACGCACACACACATATATATATATACATATATATATGAATATATATAAAAAGTTTATATGCACCTATAGATATAATTTTTTATATATATACTTACAAATCTTCAGCAGATGTCTTAAACATATTTCCATATTTTTATCTTCTCTCTCTCTCTTTCTCTGACTCTGCCCTGTGTCTGTGTGCATGTGGATCAGCTGAGTTCTCCCTCCCTACAGGTATGTCTGTATGTGTTTCATTAGGCTAGATGCTCTCTTGACTCTTTTAATTTATTTCCACTAACTGCACTAGCAGGAACCAAACTGAGCAATGACAAAATGTCCTGCTGCCGAAGTCTGCAAGCCAGTACACACAGTCCTGGAATGTCTGGAGGCCAGTGATGAGGACATTGTAGGTAGAGGTTCCTCTCTGTCACCATCTCCATTCAGGGATGTTGTCCCTGGGTTTTATAAACTTGATATTAAATCATCCTCTGAACTTGTATGACACTTCTAAAACATCTTTCTCTTCTTCCTGGGAACCAGAGACTTAGTTCATGTTTTTTGCACTGCCTCATACCCTACATTCTTTCATGTTGTTCATTGATTTGTACCGGTTTCTTTCTCTGCTATTTATTGACCCATTTGCCCAGCAAGTTGTGGGCATTGTTAGGGTGGATGTGTTGACTTTCAAAGCTCATGGCCCATATCTGAACCCATAGGTTATGTGCTTATCCCCTCATAAAAACAGGATACTCAGGAAAACTAATAGATGGAACACAATATACGTGTGTCAGGAGTTAAACTCTTTTTACCCTTCTTTCCCTACATCATTGATAAAGCATTTGGAGTGCTATTGGGCACGTTTTTAGGGATGTGGAATCTTGTTCTCTCTGTTGTTTGATACCATATGCACCTGTGATGAGCTGTGAGCACTAATGTTATCACTTAGGGGTTTTTTTGTCAGAACATGAAACACATTGGGGTGTGTAGGAGTTTTTCTGCAGGTAGCAGTGAAGACACACCATTGGAGATTAATTCTTAAATATTTGGTGTAAAACCTCTTTTGTTGGCTGTGTTGGCTCCATCTTAAAATGTGTGTCTAAACAACATCTCTATCCAAATTCCTTGTAGAGCACTGTCTTGGGGGCAAAGAGTCAGAAACTGGCTTTTTGGATAGGTGATTTGGGGTGGCTTGATGGAGGACTTACAGCATGTAATAGGGAACTCAGAAAAGCAGCCAATCCCTTACTTGCACTGATGCCTTCACAATGTAGAAACAAAACAACATACTTTTGAGACAATATTAATATAGCAAGGAATATAAAAGCAGAATTAGAGGCCTCCAGGTGCAAATATGGCAAAATACACATGTGATCCAGGACTTCTGCAATTTTATGAGTTTAATAAATTAGCATATTTAACAGTAGTGTCCAATTAGAAGAGCATTTAGTTAAGTAATCCCCCCTTTTGGTTCTGCCCATTTGGAGCCCCTCCTGAGTTTCTAGTCCCATATTTATTATGTCTAGGATACATGGTAAAAGGAAATAAGACATCCTTGGCTAAAGAAGCAAAACTAAATAATATTTCAGGAATGTGGCAAGCATAATATGTCTTAGAGGTTATCTTATTGATCTAAAACATAGGGGCAAAGGGGTAGGAAAAGTACTTTACTTGGAGCTACAGCCATGTATCAGAAATCTACAAAGCTACAAATATATGACAAATATATGAAAAGCTTAGGCATCTGTGCTTATGCCCACAGTGGCTTGCAAAGAAAAGAGAAATGTGCATGTCTTTTGAAGCCCTGTTCTGCCATGTATCTGAGCATGGAATTCCTCCTGAAGCCAGTGCAAGTACTTCACCTGTTTGCTTAATGTGAGCTTGAGTAGGCATTCAAGCTTTTGACTGTGCTGCAGGTGAGACCCAGGAGAGGAAGCATCACATCTCTTCATGTTCCTAAATACCAATGCAGTTTGGAGCTGTGCCTAGTCAGGGTTCAGAAAATCAGGCCTCCTTCCTTAGGTGACTACAGATGGACTGAAGTCTAAAATCTAAAATCAGGCAACCAACTTAGTTCTGGCAGTGCTCTAAACAGAAAGGACATAAACATCAACATGTTTTTCTAGCTTTTCAGGTTAAGTTGGAGTCTGGCACTAATTAACAGACTGAGTTAGTAATATTCCCTAACTGAAAACTAAGGCCAAGCTCATAGTTGGACAGATTTGATGAACTGACATCTAATGGCCTCTGATCTCCTACTAGTCTTACTTTGTCTCATTTCCTTTACTTTCCTCAGTATGACATCTGATTTATGTGATCATGAGAGCAAAACTAACTGACCTTAGCTCTGCAAAGATGTACTTCTAAATATCAGTGATCTCAAGCCATTGTGGGATTGAGCCCTGGACTGACCACCTCAGTGGCAGACACCAATGCCACAGTCAGCACCCTTTGCAGTAACTGGCCTTCTGAGTGAAATAGCAAACTTGTGCTTTCCAGTGCAGTCCAGAGTCTTGTTTCTGCTGGTGCCATGTGGCTCTCGTGTTTGCTTTGTGGTCTACATGTGGGTCTCACACAGAAGGTTTTTCCTGTCAAACCTGACTGTCACCATTCATGGTATTGCCCTGAGTAACACGTGCATTTAGATACTCATTTCATGTGTAATCTCAGTTAAGTCGTGATATTTATTATAACATATATAGTGTGTGCTAATGATTTTTGTTTACATTCTGCCAAACTGTAGACCTTAGAGTTAGACCTCCCAGGTCCAAAATCATCTTTGAGCAGACTGCTTGCTTCTTCAGAGGCAGGTATCAGAAAGAGGAAAAAACTGTCCAGAAAGACCATTTATATCAGAAATCTGCCAAGAGAGGGCTGTTAATCACAAGCAGAGCATGTCATTGCTAGTGATGTATTTTTATGCTATGGAACTCTAATCTGTATGTGTCATATTGACTTCTTGCTGCATGAATCATAAATTTTAAAAATCAGTCTTACAGTTTTGAGATGTAGCCAGCATTCCTAAGGCTAAACCTTTTTCATTGACAGAATCAAAATCCACAACCAAGGAACGTTTTCCTCTCACTGTGAGAGCAACTGAAAGTGTTCAACATTTATCTTTTCACAAAGGAAGAGGCAACAGAACCTCTTAATGTGTCTTGTTATTGTGATCATCTGGAAATGATTGCCAGACGTTTCCTTTTGATATAGTAATGAAGTGATCTGTATTTAAATTTTATAGAGAGAATTTTATTCTAGTGTGATAGAGATTTATTTTCCACTTAAAGACTCAAAACGGTGTGAGCACGTTTTTGGTTTGTTTTTTTTTTTTTTTTTTTTTTACTATGATATATTTTTGCTTTAAAATTAAAAACAAAACAAAAAAAAAAAGGTTTGGCCTTATCACAAAGTTTTAGTATAGATGTTAGCAAACGCAAAGAGTATGCATTATTTGTGTGTATCCACATTGACTGATGTCGCCTTCAAAAAGCAATATTGTGCAGGTAATAAGTTGTTTGTGACTGTCCATTGCACAGTTTACCTTCTTTAAAAGCTAACCTTGTTTATGCACAAGACAATCAAATGTAAATCTACATCAGCACCCAGGTGTGGATTAAATTTATGTAAATTACTGAGCACAATGTAAAACATTAAAAGACACTTTATTTAATTACACATTTAATGTTGGTAAAGATAGTATCAGGGCATGAACTAGCTGACATACTGTAATTTCTTTTTTCTCTTTTCCTACTTCCTTAGCACTCTACAGTTTCAGTTTGCTCATAAATACATCAAATTAGTCATTCATAATTTTTTTGAAGAGGAGGGTGGTTTGGGTTGTTTATTTGTTTTTATGAAGTCAGTTAGGAGGACTTACTACTTTGTCTATGAGGCTTGTGGGTTTTACTTATTTGGTTTATTTTTTATATCAGTTTCATGCCCTGAGGGTAAGGCAAACATTACACCATACAGTAAAAAACAAAGTACCTTGGA